AGATAGATAGATAGATAGATAGATTGATAGATAGATAGATGATAGATAGATAGATGATAGATAGATAGCAATAGCAATAGCAATAGCAGTTAGACTTACATACCGCTTCATAGGGCTTTCAGCCCTCTCTAAGCGGTTTACAGAGTCGGCATATCACCCCCAACAACAATCCGGGTCCTCATTTCACCCACCTCGGAAGGATGGAAGGCTGAGTCAACCTTGAGCCGGTGAGATTTGAACAGCCGAACTGCAGAACTGCAGTCAGCTGAAGTGGCCTGCAGTGCTGCATTTAACCACTGCGCCACCTCGGCTCATATTTTCCAACATGGGACTTATTTTACAAACAGTTGGATAATAGAGGTAGAAATTAGGAGTGGGGAAAGTATTACGATGCAAGCAAATTGACCCAGACAATACACAGTTCACAAAGCAGTTATGTATGTTAAATGAAAATGTATAAACTCTTAAATAAAAAGAAAGTTGATAAGGTTGGGCAGCCCTGCCTTACAGTCTTGTTTATTTCTTAAATTCATATGCCTCCCATCTCACTGTTAAACAACTCCTGGCGGCTCTCAGCAATATAAAAACAATCCAAACCTTAAAAGATGAAAAGCCTTCAATATTAAGAATTAAAATATTAAAACTAACCAGGAACTAGATAAGACGTGACCAGATGGGATCTTCTGCTAAGCCACTTAATCATCTTTAAAGTGGTTATTTTCCTGGTCCTTTTCATTTCAAAAGCAATGATGGATCGGCTATGGTTGTTGTGTCTGTGAAGTTCATGCTAAGCAGACAAAATATATTCTTATTTTTAACTTTTTATATTCATGCATATCTTTGCTTTTGTATCTATTTGTATATCACCCAGAGTTGCTCTAGGAAGGAGATGGGTGGTCTCTAAAATTGATCTATAAACAAATGTTTAAATGGTTTATGGAGTTACAATATTGAATGGGCTTGATTTGATTTCTATATTCACCCATCTCAAGAAGTGACTCTTGTGTAAAACGTCGTGAAGTCCTTTATGAAAGGCCCTTCCTCCTAAGGACAATGGTGACCACTTGGTCTCTGATCTCCTTGGTCTTCACTCCGTAGACAATGGGGTTCAGCAAGGGAGGGAAGAGGAGGTAGAAGTTGGCCAGGAGAATGTGCACATAGGGTAACACATGATGGCCAAATCTGTGGGTCAGAATGGTGAAGAGCGCCGGCGTGTAGGACACCAGGATGACCACCACATGAGCCGCACAGGTGCTGAAGGCTTTGTAGCGGGCGTCTCGTGAGGGCAGGGCCAGGACTGCCCTGGTAATCATGCAGTAGGAGAAGGTGATAAATAGCAGATCAGCCCCAACCACCAGCAGTGCCACCAGAAGCCCATAGACCACGTTGGCCAGGATGCTTGAGCAAGCCACTTTCACAACTGCCATATGCTCACAATAGGTGTGAGCGATGATGTTGGTCTTGCAGTAGGGAAGGCGTGCCGCTAAGATGGGGATCGGGGCGATGAAGACGGTGCCTCTCAGGACCACTAAGATGCCAATCTTGGTCAGCAGGGCGGTGGTCAGGATGGAATCGTATCTGAGGGGGTTGCAGATGGCCACGAAACGGTCAAAGGCCATGGCCACTAACACGCTGGACTCCATGACCGAGAAGGCGTGGATGAAGAACATCTGGGCCATGCAGCCCGTGGAACTGATTTCTCCCGCTCGGAACCAGACGATGCAGAGCATCTTGGGCAGGGTGGCAGTGGACAGGACCAGGTCTATGGCGGCCAGCATGCAGAGGAAGAGCTACATGGGCTTGTGGAGTCTCTGCTCTGTGGTGATCACGTACAACATGGTGCTGTTCCCCAGCAGCGTCACAAGGTAGATGGAGGAGAGCGGGATGGAGATCCAGTGGTAAAAGGCTTCCAGGCCGGGAATCCCCAGCAGGATGAAGGAGGAGGAGGCGGTGCCATGGCTCCCGTTAAGCGGAAACATGGCCCCTGGGAGGCCTGGTGCACGCTGGATCCACAGACCGCTTCGTCATCTGCTGCAGGGAGGGAGAACCACAAAGCAGGAGGGGGTGAACTTTGCTGCACCCACCTGCCACATCAGACTACAGAACAATGGTTGGAAGGGTCCAACCCCTGCCCAAGGCGGGAGACCCTACCCCATCCCAGGCAAATGCTTGCAAAGGCTACTTTTGGGAAGTTCCGGTGTTGGAGGCAGCCGACTCCCCTCGTCCCCCTGGTGCTTTTTTCCAAGAGGCAACTGGACTTTCCTGGGTTATTTTTCTTTGAAAGGGCTTCTTCGGTTCTGGTTCTGAGCCTCTCTTGGATGAGAAGCAAAACATTTTCAGAGGGAAAAACCCCTCCGAAACGCCCAGTTGCCTTTTGAAGAAGAGGCACCTTTGGGACCACCAGAAGCTCCAGAGACATCCAGCCATTCCACTCATCAACAGGGAATTTCTCCTTAACTTTAGGTCTCTAATGGATCTCCACCCGTTGGTTCTTATGCAGCCTTCCGGGGCTCTGGACAATAGGTGGCCCCCTCCCCTCTTCTCTGGGGCAGCCCCTCAAATACCGGAAGGCTGCTGTCCTGACACCCCGATCCTTCCTTAGACTAGACACCCCCAATTCCTGCAGCCGTTCGTCACACATTTTTGCCTCCGGTCCCCAAGTCATCGTCATCGCTCCCCTCTGCTGGTTATCCCTCAGGTTGGCCT